GCATGATGCTTGGTTCACTCTTCGACCCTAAGGCATACTCCGAAAAGTCAATAAACATCTATATATTACATGCAATACACAGAGCATCATATCCCAGAAGACAACAGTCTTCATAGCGACAACCGTCATAACGTCACATCTATTGCATGGGCTGTCTTAGTTCTGAAGTCATGCCTCCTCTTGGGAAGTCTATGTCTAACCGCAATAGCAATGACGATTATTGTTATTTTATTTAAACTGCAAAAGGGAGTTTACTCAGTGGCAGTGATACTACAATAAGACACAACACACAAGTAACACACCACACTCAAACAAAACAAAGCACACAACACTACAGAAGCAATAAAGGACATACTACACAAAATGAATACAATCCAAATGCGATTACAACTACAAAAAATACAATTACAGCTACAATTAAATAAATTAATATTAATAAAAATAAGTATGTTATACAGTAAATAGTAACAGTAATGGAATACGAAATGTAATTGAACTAAATATAGGTACATAAGAACATGCTATGTTTTAATCTTTACTGCATTATTACACAATATTTCTCTTACGCGGTAGGCATCTTATTCAGGTTTCTTTATTTCACACGAATGAATTGAGTACATGAATATTATACTGCCAACATAATGAGAACACTTCCGTGGTACATAAATTTTCTGGATTTATCTTAATATATTTTAGGTAGAGGTAGAATTTATTGTTAAATGCGAGATGGGTTATATTCTCATGCTAATATTCGCTTTGTAATTGGATTTAACTAATTAATATAAATGCTATATCTCATTCTAAGTTCATTTCATGTTGTTGTGGTTAACTTTCAGTATAACAGATTCTTGACTCACTCACTCTTAGAGCTGAGCCCTTCTTGAGAAGTCGCCAACTCTGCAGCTACTCAGGAAATTTCCAGGATTTTATGGAACCCGAGGGTTCATTATCGTGTTCACAAGAGCCCGACACTGGTCCCTATCCTGAGCCAGATCAACCCAATCCATACCATTCCATCCTAACTCTCTAAGATCAATTTTAATATTCTTCACCCACCTAGGTCTTCGTCTTCCTAGTGGTCTCTTTCCTTCTGGTTTTCCCACCAATATCCTATATGCATTCCTCTTCTCCCCAATTTGTGCTATATGCCCGGTCCATCTCATCCTCTTTGACTTGATTATTCTAATTATACTTGGAGAAGAGTATACAAGTTACGAAGCTCCTCATTATGCAGTTTTCTCCATCCTCCCGTCACTTCATCTCTCTTCCGTCAAAATATTCTCAACACCCTGTTCTCAAACACTCTCGGGCTATGTTCCTCCCTTAATGTCAGAGACAAAGCTTCATACCCATACAGAATCACAGGCAAAATTATAGTTATGTACATTCTTTTTTTTTTATTGTTTTTAAACGCAGACGAGAAGACAAAATGTTCTGGACTGAATGTACGATATACCAAGCATTACCCGAATTCAATCTCCTCTTAATTTCCTCCTGAATCAGGTTTTCATTTGTTATCGTCGTTCCCAAATATCTGAAATGTGCCACATTTTCAAAGGATCGCTTAGCTATTTTTATGTCATAATTTTTCTCTGCATTCTGGTGATGAGAGAGCAACATATATATATATACTTAGTTTTCTCTGTGTTTACTTCTAGACCAACCTACTTAACTAGCACCAATTACAGTTTGTATGTTCTTCCGCCTATTCAAAATGCTGTTGGAATCTGCAAGCAGATCACCATTCTCATCTTTCACTAACTTGCTTCTAGGTTGGTAACCCCTCTTGAAGTCATTTATTCCTCTATGTAGGCTTCTAATGTTCCTGTTCTTACTGTTCGTTGCAAGCTCATCAATTTTGTGTCTCAGGTATTCCCTTTTTTATCCCTGAAATTCCTGCTGCTTCATTTCCTATGTTGTTCAGATTATCCCAATTTATTTCGCTTGGATCCTGTAACCACTGCAATTTGGCTTGTTTCCTTTGGTCTAAAAATTCTGAGAACCCTTCATCGAACCATGGCGTATGCTTCTTAGATTCCTGACTACATGAAAATTATAAAATAACTGAAAAGCAATATTTATGTGCTCTTCCTGGAAAGAAGCAGGGAATGGTGGAGGAGCTGCAGGCCTAGAGCTTGAAACGATATTAATTTTATACAAGATCGGTCTTGTGAACCCCAGGAAACTGTCAATTTACTCGTAGGATGTCACAGACAGGAATGCATACAAATGTATACTGTGGAACTTGTAAGAGAACATCATCTTGGAAAAATCAAAAGGTAAATTAGGAATGTAATATTAAGATGGATAAAGGGAAGATAATTCACAATTTGAAGGGGAAGAAACGAAATTAGGATACCTATCCAAACACCGGCTTTGATGTAAGCTGTATTAGACCATCGGGTTTTGCTACCATTAGAATTTATTGGTTAGTTAAGTTTAAACTTTATTTAATTTACACCTTGAATAATGCACATGATCGCACTGCATGCTAGTGTATCCTTTGTTGTTTGTGTGGTGTGTTATTTGTGTGTTGTGTACTACTGTAGTACCACTGCCACAGGGCAGAAATCCAGTTGTAGTTTAAGTAAATAATAATAAAATAAAAATAATAATATATTGCAATTACAGCTCACCCCAAACTGGCGAGTCCATGCTCGGTGTATGAACAATAGCAGTTTGATGAACCGTGTCTAAACCATACCCAATCGTGCAAATTAACGTCAATTATGGCCATGGGACTAGACGCAAAGTCTCCGTGGACAGAAATAAACTAATAGCAATACTAGGCATGTAGTTACGGCTGAGTGTCGCCGCGTTCTCTTCGTGCTGTAATGTGTCATGCAGAGGATAATGAAAAATCTAATTTGGTAAAAACATAATTAAATTCATAGAATAAACTTACGACACATGAAGGCAACCATACATGTTTGACCGTTTCCTTAGGTTAAGTAGATGCATATAGGTAACAATGAAGGATTATCAGAGTGTCCTTAAAATATATTCGGTGTTTTGAAATGTTGTATCTTCGCAACCATGATACAAAACTGAACGAAACAAAAACAAAAATGACACGCACTTCCACTGATGAAGTTCGACACTTGAAATCCTTAAAATTGGATCTACAATGAGACAGCAAATGAACTGGAGCATTTCTGGAATTATGGTTTCAGTAGTTACTGCAATTCTGTATTTTAAGGTCTGAACGCCACCCACACGTCCAGAGGCTCCATAAACTGCATTTTTATATCCCCCAAGAAAGGAAGTCAAGGGACGTTATATGCTGGCACATATGAAATAGAACTCTTTCCGCCCATCCAGCAAGTTGTGGAGCAGCTCGGACAAAATTGCTAAGAGGGAGCTGTGCGCCATCTTACTGGAAGCTTTCAACTTCTGCATCCTATTGTTGTGGAGAAAATTATTTTTCAGCTTATCAAGGTAAATGGCCCATGTTATGGTAGCACTGACAAAAACAAAGTTATTCGGGCTGAAACAGTCGTTTCGGTATATATTGCATTAGAAGAGGTGCACACATAGAACTCCAGTGACATTTTCGTATCTGCTTCATTCAATTTGTGTATTATGGTTACTAATACGTGCCATTTCAAAACGCCGAACATACTCGTATTTTCCGAATATCCTGCGCCATCTTGAATAAAAATATAATGTAAAAAATGTTTCAGCGTTGATTACATGGACGTAAAAGTAATGCTTTATGTCTCGAATTCACTAAAAATTTTGAGTCAGAATGTATCCCGTCCTGAGATTCGTACAAACGTTAAACTAATTAACTCTACGGTTAGAGTTCTTGGGGAACTGACAGTCTATCAACCGATCATGTAAATTATCCGCATTTTATGTAGCCAGAAAGCCCATTCCGTTTTCTAATGAGCCGGTCACTGAACACTATCCTGAACCATCTAAATCCATTCCACATCCTCACACCTTGCAAGTCTTTCTAATATATATAAACATACAACTTTGGTGTTTGTTTCCTGTTTCACAATGAGGACTTTATATAGAACTGCCATAAACTAAGCAAACTCCGTGGCTTTAGTCTGCAAGCGAACTATACCGACCGAGCGACTGTGTCGGCGAAGATAGTGCCAAATTTGCGGATAGAGGGTGTCGTGTGGTCAGCACAACGATTCCCCACGGTCATTAATCTCGGTTTTCTAGACAGGAGCCTCTACTTTTCCATTCAAGTAGCTCCTCAATTACCCTCACGAAGCTCAGTGGACCCCATTCCAGAACCACTACTTCACAGAATGTCTGGTATCGCAGTGAATCGAGCCCGGGACCTCTGGATCTGTAGCCAGGAATTCTGACCACCAGACCACAGAGGCGGTCACAGAACAGCCAGATACATGAAAATTTTCACTACAGACTTTTCCCAGTACGTACAGTGATCATTGCTGTTCACACGAGACACGATTATCGCGACAGAAGTTTTGGGTGCAATTCGAATCCTGATTCTTAAGGTGCGTCCACATTACTCGTGCTCGTGCTCGTCGGGAGACTCGTCTGGCTTTTATTTGTGCTCGTAAATCTTCGTCCACACTACTTCAGTTGCTCGCCAGGCTTCGGCGCGTGAGGATCCGTATATTTACTCGTAGTGTGTATAGGCTGTAGTCGTATTTTAATTTATAGGCTACAGTTTTTAAATTAAAAATTTAAAATTTGCTTGTCTCGTGACTTGTCATATCGTCCACATTACTCGCGAGCATAGCGAATCACAGGAGCACGAACACGAGTAATGTGGACTCGCCTTTAGTATGTATATTATCCTAATTACAAGTGTATATTTTAGTTTCCGTGACCTACTTTCTCTTCTAAGTTTTAGCTAATGCATTTTAATACTGACAAAGGATATATTATGGGCGAAAGTGGATACTTCTTGTACATTACTGAAATGGCAACGAAGCAAGAAGTTTTAGACTAAAACATTTACAGTGCCTTACAAATTGCATTTATGCCACTCTTGCTTGTTCTTCACTTACCGGGTGCTATGCATTCGGGAAACTCGTGTTCAGTTTACAGTCTCCGCGTCTGAGTGGTATCTTCTCTCTCCAATTCCTAGTTGTTTATTCCTTAAAAATGTACGACAGCGCATTTTCGAATTCTCGGAATTTCACAGTGTTCTCAACTCTCTTCAGATTTATTCAATCCTGAAAGCAAATCATGAAGGTGAAACTCAAGTACAAACTGGAGCTTACACACAAACACCACTACGTAAATAAACACAGACAAATGTGTCAATATATCACTGGGAGACTCGGAAACCTTCATAACTTGCATACGAAAGTCTCAGTTTACCTGGCAAGAGATAAAGCCCATCCACTCTATTAACCACGATATATCATACTTTGTTTAGCCAATTTAAAAAAAAATCCGTGGCCTGTAGTCCGCAAGCGAACTATACCGACCGAGCTACCGCCGCTTATCGGCGAAGTTAGTGCCAACTTTTGCGGATAGAGGGTGTCGCATGGTCAGCGCAACGGATCCCCATGGCCGTTAATATCGATTTTCTAGACCGGAGCCGCTATTTCCTTGAAATATCTCCTCAATTATCATCATGAGGCTGAGGGAACACGGTTCCAGACACGGGACCCCTGGATCTGTAGGCAGGAACTCTGACCACTAGATCACAGAGGCGCTTGTATAGCCAATCTAACGGATCAAAATTCAAGTGCAAATCTGTTTGGATTTCCACCGACGTATGAATATCGGAAGTGAGAATGTTTGAAGAATAATCTAGCGACTCTCTAATAATGACGTAACAAACTACGTAACTAATTGACAATGACGTAGCCTCGTCCCCATAAGAGATGCAGTGTAATTACTAGCACTGGTACGAGATAAAAATGCAAAACTCTGTCTTAATAACCCCTATGCGGCGCCATGGAGATGTAGGGGTAAAGTAAGTACAACTTCACGCATTCTTAACCTGGACAGTAGGAGGTGGGCTTTATACGCCGGCTTCCTTACCACCAGGGAAATAGTACCCATTGGACAGGATTCCCACATACGCCTTCATGATGTAGTACTTAGTTAAGCACAGAGACAAATTTACCTTATTACTCAGCAGTAATAATGAAAACTGATAAATTAAGGAGAATTAATAACAGTTCGGACAAGAAAAACAGTTACTAAGTTTATGAATACCCTGTTGTCATATACAAGAGAGAGTCAAAAATTGACAAATTTAAGTTTATCTCAAACTTTATAATGGCAAGTTAAGGTAAAACGGTAACGCTTTTCATCCAACAGACCGTGGTGGCCCATAGGGTTGTGAGACGTCGAGGCTCCCACATTTTCTAGACATTAGACTCACAGATGGCGATGAGGTTTTCAGCCTTACCCACCAACCGCCCTTCCTCCCCAGGAATATTCCTGATTTTCATTTCTGTTAGAGGCTCAGTCGACCCCAGGGCCATAATGCAACTTGAAGGATTACATCAATTGAAAAATCCAATTACCTCATTCGGAATCGAATCCGTGACCTTCCGGCATGCATCATAGTGCCTCAGCCAGCTACACTACTGCGTGCCCCAAGTTTATAAGGGCAGGTTTCAAAATTATGGCAAAGATAAACGATATTAATTTTCCCTTATTTTCGTTTCCTTGGTTTTCATTATCTGACTTGGCTTTCAGACATTCATTAAAGAGAAAGTAGTGAAATGTACAGAGAAATAATAGTTTAGAATGCAGATTACCCTTTGAGATAAATGACTAATTATGAATAAGTGGAGGAAGATGGGCTGATGTTAAATTCTAAAGATAAGCGTTCAAGACAGTCACCTACGCTAATATATTCATATGCATTGAAAAGCAGGACAGTTGTGTGAAAGAAAATTATACCTAATTTCTGGGTCATTATTCTCAAGTGCTTGTAATAAAATTGCGTCCAATTTCTTTTCCTGCCTTTGTAGATTTACTTTCTACATTGACTGTATGGAAACATGCCTGCAATCTTTGCTGACTGTGCTTTCCACACACTGGTGCAGACTTCATTATTGTTTCAACGTCTCTTGGTAGCAGACTACGTCCCCAGGGTCCTGGCCAGGAACATTCTGAGTCTAGTTACTTATTCAACAGCAAGGATCCACCGTCCCATCACAATGTATTCTTTATCTGTAGGTAGCAAGTCCCCTGCTCCATGATGTGCAGATATAACTCAATACTCCAGTAATTCATTCAGCCGAGGTTTCCAGAAGAGCCAACAGTCCCTCAGCATATCAAGATATTCCTCACACTTTTATGGAACCAGAACCTTCATTGCAATGTTGACAATAGTCCTCAATTGTATCCCATCCTGGTCCAGATTAACCCACTCCATACCAACACATTCTCTTTCCTTAAGCTTGTACTTTCTTTTTACTGCTAGTGGGATGGGACTAAGTCCCTTGTACTGCGGCCACTTCTGGCCTATTGTACCAGTCCCAGATGATAGGTGAGAGTGATTGTGGAGCAATTGGTGGAATGAAGTTTGGCAGGGGAAACGGAAGTACTCGGAGAAAACCTGTCCCACCGCCACTTTGTCGACACAAATCCCACTTGACCAGACCCCGGGATCAAACCCGGCCCGCCGCGGTGGGAAGCCAGCGACTAACCGCTTGAGCTATGGCGCGGCCCAAGCTCGATCTTAGTGTTTTCCTCCAATTTATTCATAGGTCTCTCGAGGGGTCTTCCATTATGATTTTATGCGTCCCTCATCCCTCTAATCCGTGCTACATGCTCTCGTCTTCCTTCATACCGATTAATAATATATCTTATACGCAGCGTGAGAATTACGAAGAGCTATGTTACGCCAAGGACCCTGAGAGCTATACCAGCGGTAGCGTAGCTACTGGCAGGGCCTCCCTTGCTGGACAGGTCAAAGGGTAGGCATCAGACGAAGAGAGACACCAAAAACCAAAAACTGATGCCGGAAGCAGCGTCATCAGCAGCGACTTGAAGCACAGAGCAAATGATGCTCGAGATGGTTCAAGTTCGTATAGCAACAGGCGTGACCAGAGTGGTTTGAACGGCTGTTGTACTGCGATGTGGAAAGCAAATGGAAAAACTACCACATTATCACTTTTCCTGGATAGTCTCTTTCCAAAAACAGAGATACCATGTATGCGACCAGAAGACGAGGAAAAGACGTAAGAAGATGCTGGATGACCTTGGGGACAGAAGAGGATATTTTTATTTGAAGGAGAAAGCTCTAGATCGCATTAAGTGGAGAAACTGTTTTGGAAGAGACTGTGGACCTGTCGTGTGGCAGATTACTGATGAAAATGAAAATGTTACGCAGTTCTGCCAACATCTGCTGTTCCTCTTGAGTCTTACTATTCTTCTCGACATTTTATTCTAAATTACTTAAATCTATGACGACTACCATCTTCTTTAATTTAACGCCATGTAGTCTGATGCAGTCGTTTCGGGAAAACATGATGCCTCCATCTTCGAGGCACTCTTCTAACCTAAGAATGGAATAAACACGTTCCTCCGAAACGTCGGTAATAATGAACCAAATTAGAGGACGTCATAACCGAGGAGACAGTAGCCTTCCTAAGCGACCGCCATAAGAGTCTCAGACCCTGCACTCACAATCCTTTTTCTCCCCAATGGCGAGAGACCAAATTTCACGCTTATACAAAACAACGGGTAAAATTAAAATCTTTAGCAGTTTAATCTTTAGGAAAATCAACAGCTTGGGCTGATAACACTGATATGCGAACCCAAATTTATTTATTTGTTTCATTTTAACGCTTAGATATAAATGGAATCTTATAATAGCCGGTATTCCGATCAGCTTTCCAACCTGACACCCCACGAATATAGGTGCAGCATCCTGGGTGACATTAAAATATTCGGCAATATATCTGCTGTCCTTTAGGCTACTGCCATAACAGAATCTCCTAAATAAAGTCCAATCAAGAAAGACTTTCCGGAATGTAGAGTTTGTCATTGGTTAAATTATCTACAATACAGCATTTTTAAACTCCAAGTACGTACGACTGAATAACATTCACTGCGGATCTATTTATGTAGGATGGATTAATAGGGATTTGTAAGGAATTTGGAGCTGCTATCCTTTCATTCGCTTGGATGCACTGAGAAACGCTAACAGAAACATTGCAATCAGGAGGGAGGTACAGGTTGAATACAACTCGGAACATTGTCTGTGTGCGTATATTTAGCTGCTAATCTCGTCTGCAGCCCACCGAACCTCCCTCTTCGGATCGACGGTCACTGGAGTCCCCTTCCGCACATTACAAATGGCGATCTAGTGCACTGAGATTTCCAAATTCGTTCTTCCCCATTTTACATGACATTAATATTGATATTGCGACATGAAGCCTGAAAGTCGGAACAGAAGAGCCAGAGTAGATGTTCAGTACAAGGCAAGGACCCGCGGAAATGAATACGCACGCAACAATATGATAAGTACCATTTCTATTCAAAGGCGAGGTAAATACACATCTATAATAGAGGAACCCTTAAGAAAAGATGTTTTCAGTTGGGTCCGCCCCGAGGCTATATAACGAGTATAATCTGACTCTGAGTCCCATCTTCTCGTCAGAGAGGATGTTACATATGGACTATTACCGCAAGAGTTCAGTTGGGAAAAAAATAATTTCTGGTCGTGGTCCTCAAGAGGCCTGACGCCAAGACGAACCGCTTGGCGGTAAACCGCCAGTCGTAAAGTAACTCTCTCTGTCTGTCTGTCTGTCTGTCTCTCTCTCTTTTTGAGTCCTTAACTTTGACTCAGACTTGACTGAGTCCCTAAAGTTATTTAAATGTAAATATCCCTTACATTATGACAAATTACTTACTACTGCAGACAATGACTCTAACAAAAGACAGACCCGTCTTCTCGTCAGAGAGGACGCCCTACAATGGCAAGACCGTAACTGTCAAAGAGTAATAAATATCTAGTCATAAGCCCCAGACTGGGCTCGACACCAAGATTGACTGACTGACCGTCAGTCGCAATGTGACCTTGATTTTGACAATGAATTAGATGTGGGACACTTGCCAGTCGGTAAGAAAGTGAGCACAGAAGCATTGTTGGGATCCGTCAGCATGCAACGACTGGTGAAGACAGATCAGACTGAGAAGACTTAGTACGTGCTGTAGTGAGTTGTAGAGTGTGTGAATTAGCGATAGCGCTATAATT